CCTCCCCTCCCCTCCCCCTCCTCCTCCTTCTCCCTCTCCTCCTCTGAGGGTACTGTCCCCGCAGCTGTCACAGTGACCAGGGAACCCTGGAGGATTGGCAAGCGGCTGGCTGTGGGGTTCATGATGGGTTGCTTCAGCTGATGGTGGTTCTCACTTCCCCAGACCCCTTTCTTTGGGAACCACCGGCCCCTTTTGGCCCAGGATTGCACCCCCAGTGCTAGCATACAGCTTTGCACAGAGTAGGTCCTTAACAAATGTCTGTTGAGTAAATCAAGGACCCGTCTGGTGGATCCCTGCCACCCCTACCAGGAGCTCTTTAGCTTGTTCTCAACAAATCCCCTTAAAATGCTCCAGCCCAGCTTTGCGCAGTGGCAGTATCATAGCCAATGAGGTTTACCTGAGGCGTGATTATTGCTAATTGAACACTTTCCCCAATACTCCACCATGACGACTTGACATATAGTCAGCGGTGGCAATTTTTGGCAGTCGCTATGGGGGCTGAATTTTAAAAAAATGCTCCAGCCATACCTGACCATCTGTATGTGACTTATCAGTAGGCTCTCAAAAATGGTAGTTTTAAGATCTCAAAGTGAATTAATAGTCGAACCTCAGGTGATGACTCAGGAAGAAGCGTTGTCTGGAGTCAGGGAGCTTCCCTCATACCCTAAATGTCCATTGCCCTTCTTTATTATCCTGAGGGACCACCTACAGAAAGCTGACCGTGGACCCCCAGAGAGAATGTTTGCTTACCTGCCTCCCAGAGCTCAGGCTCTGCGCTGCTGGTGTTGAACCGGTCAGATGGAGCTGGAGATGGATGACCTGAAATTAACCAGCAGCAGCACAGTGGGTGAGTGAGTTCAGGTGTGGAGGCCACAGAGGCACCCTGATGAGTAGGGGGCACTTCCTGGAGCCTGTGGTGACTATATGGGGCCTTTGGAAAGACGTGGTCCTCAGCTTTGGGTGCATTTGCATTTGCCTCCCTTCCTGGTAGGGAAAGTTCTCAAACACTGCCGTTTCAGGATCCTCTGCTTTACTCATCGCACACACATCTTCAGAAATCAGAGTAGAACAGGAAGGACTAGCAGCGGGCATTGGGGCCAGACCCACAAACTGGCTTCGTGACCATGAATGGGTGACTTAATCTTTCTGTGCCGGTTCCAATTTGTTAGCCATGACACTTAGGAAAATATCATGAGGCTGAAATAAGACAAGGTATGAAATACTTGACATACAGAAAAAGCTCAAAAGTGGGAGTGATTTAGAAAAAAATAATTTCTTTGCAGAATTTGTTGAGAATTTCATACCAGACTTTAGAATAGTTGGTACATCCTGGGCTGGGAGCCACTGGACTGCAAAGTGCTTTCAGACACTGAGAAACTAGCATTCACTAAGGGCTATTCTATGCCAGGTATTTCATATATTATTCTGTTTACTTTCAAAGATGCAATGAGGCAGGTATTAGCATTCTTATTTTACAGATTAGGAAAAGGAGGCTCCCGTAACAAAAGTCACTTGTCCCTGCCAAATAGTGTCCATTTGTTCCACATTCTGCCCTGGGAGGCTGACCTGTTTAGATTAACCAGTGTCTTCCTGGGTGTTATGGTTTCTGTCGGATTTAGCCAATGGGGAGTCCTAGCAGACATAGGAAGCAGCAAGCGAAGACGTGATGCTGATTCCTCTGGCCCCTCCCTGTGAGGCCCCTCGGGCAGGCTGTGTCCCTCCTGTGAAGGACATTGTTTATTCAGGGTGACCTCTCACTGACTGTCTCCTACTGGGACCCACCAATCACTCCCTAGTTGTGTCTCCTTCAGCCAAAAGATGCTCCTAGATTCTACTTACTGCACTGCCTTTTGTAAATAGTTCTGTAAATGCATTCCCTTGAAATTCATATTCTAGGTGTGCCATCTGTTTCCTGGTGGGACCCTGACTGATGCCACCTGAGGCCTGAGGCCACCCAGTGAGCAAGCTGCCGAGACAGGATTTAAACTGTCTCCAAGGACTTGCCTCCCATCTGGGCTGGGATGCTGAGCTTACAAAGCACAGAGGGAGGCTCTGGGGCAGGGTCTGTTGTGCTTGCTTATGAACTCCTCTGCATTTCCTGGTTTCTCTTGCGCCGAGGTTGGGCGGGTTGAAGTCTGGGCAGAAGACGTGTGCTCATTTTTTTTTTTTTTTTTTTTT